TTAACCAGATTACCTTATTGGTTTAGAGCCGGGTGATTAACCAGATTACCTTATTGGTTTAGAGCCGGGTGATTAACCAGATTACCTTATTGGTTTAGAGCTGGGTGATTAACCAGATTACCTTATTGGTAACCCTATATGGCACCTACCATATAGGTAGGTAATATAGTAACCATATAGTAACCCTACCTATATGGCAGGGTTACCACCAGAAATACTCACCCCTTTCGGCTGCAGGGGCATTATATTTATTTCCATGTTTTTGATTTATGGCAGGGTTACCACCAGAAATACTCACCCCTTTCGGCTGCAGGGACATTATATTTATTTCCATGTTTTTGATTTATGGCAAACCTACTAACACTATTTTCCTCATCCTTAATGCTGAACTGCAGACCAGAGAGGAGAAAACTGGCCAGCAGTACTTACCACCAACTCTCGGGTTAATCATTTATCGATTAATAGCAGGATTGACTGTGACATTATTATGCCCTTACAATGGCTGAAAGAGCAAACATGTTTGGTGGCAGCAGGTATCAAATCTGTGACCCTCAATTCACAAGGCAACTACCCTAACCACCTGGTTATGTAAACCTGGAGGTGTTATAAATTTGATAGTCCTATTGGTTGGCAAAGTGAGCAGTGGGTGCTGCCAGCCAGTTGTCGTCTCTCTGGTTAGAACTTCAAAATTAGGAATGGCAGAAAACGTCATTAGTAGCATTGAAATAACTCAAACTAACTTGTTCATCTTTAGATATACATACTATCTGAACACACAAACTAAAAGATAGATAGTACTACGTCCCTTGGCACGACGTTGTGTACGCATTCAGCTTGTATCCAACTTAAGAATGTGAGGTGGCTGTTGTTTAAATAACTAAACACATATTACCTGTTGTTTTATGTTTACCTAGTTTGATTTAAACAACCACACACTTTAACTTAATACAATGCTTATTTATTACATGCTATAAATGTAACCATAAACTTCAAATAACCACTTAATAGCACTAAATATCTTTAACACATTACATTAAAACAACAAAAGATATATATATTACTTCAGAAAAGCTAACATTCTGAATTCACATTTACACATCCCACCATTTAGCAATTTAAACCTGAATTATTTCATGTGTAATGCAAGTTCAAACACTATAAATAATTAGTTATTCTGCAATAGATGTACTTGTTAATATCAAAAGATCGTATTTTTATCCTTGTTCACAAAGAGAAATGTTCTATCTACAAACATAAGATACAAATACATAAAAATTCACCGCACTACGTCAATTTATTTACACATTAAATGTCAAGAAATAAACTCACCTTTCAATCCTCTTCTGATTTTCATACATTTTTTTGTTTGCTTCTTCAACAACAAACTTAACATACTGAAATACAGATTCTCAGAATTAACAAATACAAGGAGTATGTAATCAATACGTACTTGACTTTATACCACTAATATATACATATATACACCTGAAAATCTTGGTTTGGATTCACAGTTTTTTCTGTAAGCTGTTTATAAAATTAGATAAATATATTTAAGTTTTAGTCTCTTGAAATCTTGGTATGGCTACAGAGTTTTTTCTATGAACTGTTTATAAAATTACATAAAATACACAAAAGTTTTATACTGTTTATTTTGAGAAACATTTTGAACAAACCTCATCAGACACGAGTACATCACCTGCTTTTGACAGAGGTACTTCCAACATGTGCGTACTGCGGATTGCCTGCCAATAACAATCGTAAAAATTTCAATAAGCAAAAAATAGGTAGTTAAAAATTCATTCAATTAATAAGTTTATTCAAATGTATCAAGTATCATAATAATTAAAATTAAAATCAATTCAATTATTTATTAAAGATAAATCTGACGAAGTAAAACCTTTGTATACTGTTGTAAAAGTTTAGGAGAGTATACACAGAAACATTGTAGATGCTCAAAAAGTTGCGACTTTCCTGGATAAATAGTCTATTTGAAATAATGCAAAATATCACCAAAATAGGAAAATATTTTAAGAGAAGTTTTTTTTTTCAATGCATTATTTACAGCTCTTCTACAACATACTAAAAATTGGACAAGATCAGAAAAGACAAAAGCGTTCTTTTTTGGTGGAGTCACAAAAATTCCTAACTTAATTTTTGTGATTATATAGTCCACTGATTAAGAGTCACGAAAAATAGCTTTGGAAGTAAACTTTTGACAAACTCGTGGTTTTCAAAAGCTATAGGAAAAGTTTGGCAGATAATATCAATTTATCAACTGTATTTATTGAAAACATCGAGAAGGAATGCTAATATTACACATTTTTTTTGTGGAAGCAAACAAAAATTTCCCTAACTGCTGTACCTTTATTTCAATTCTAAGTCATTGGGAGATCTTTCTTTAATAACAAGAGATTTTCAAAAGTTTGCTGACCGGCAACCCCTGCAAATTACTGTTTCCATGGGAACTAACAATTGTTTAAATAAGAGTTATTCTGTGCCACTTGAACAAAAATGATGGTTCACTTCTTCCCATTTCTACTGACAAAGATCCGGCACCATCCAAACTGTTATGTGTAATCAAATGTAACTGTGAATCTAATACTGAGCTATATCGTGGTTCAAGAAACACTCGTCTCCACTGTGCAAGCATGTGTGGCAGCTGCAGGGTACATACTTGTCCAAACTCTCGGGTAGTTATATTTGAAGTAGACAAGATGAACTACGAGTTGAGTTTTGTCTTATTTATAAACTTCATAACTATTTTCTTAAATACTACAAGACTGTCATATGTAGAGGGAGTATTTGTACACGGAGGTGTGTTGCACTCCTGTTGGTGGAAGGTTTAGTTGCATGATGTGTGATCACGTAGTAGCGCAAGTTCACGTGAAACTAGAGGGGCACTCGGTAGAGATGCATACCTCTGCCACACAGCACTGATCCTATTTGGCTCTCAAACAATACAAAAATGCGTCCGTATGCCCGTCGTTATAAATGGACACGGACCGTTTTGGGCAGAGCAATGACAAATGATATTCTACATATATCCACCAAGTTTCATCAACATATGATCATTTGAGACTGAGTTACAGAGCAAAAATAGTGTGAAAATTTGGTACCCATGTTAACAGATAGGGATTTTTTGGATTTTCGTTACCTTGACCTTTGACCCTCCAAAAACTAACCATTCCTAAGTTGGGTCATAGTTCAAATACACACCAACTTTCATCCAAATCCATTCCACTTCTTTTTGAGAAATCTTGCTGACAAACACACACACACACACACACAGGGGTGAAAACATAACCTCAATCCAACATCGGTAACGAAGGTAATTTGGTGGAAGTTTTCACAAGGCTAGTGAAATGAAAGTCCCTCATCCAGAATGTGCAAACTCAAGAGGAAATAGCAATTTGTGTAAGGAGGTGAGTATTCATAAGATAAACAACAGGACCGTTACTAGTTAATGGTAGATAAGTAATGTCTTAGTAAAACAATACAGCATTGAGTTCAATCAAAAGTGTAGTTAATGCTGATTTCAACAATGGTAGATAAGTAATGTCTTAGTAAAACAATACAGCATTGAGTTCAATCAAAAGTGTAGTTAATGCTGATTTCAACAATGGTAGATAAGTAATGTCTTAGTAAAACAATACAGCATTGAGTTCAATCAAAAGTGCACAAATGCTTAGTGAACTATGTTCCATATAATCCTCAAAGTTAGGGGATTATCATATCCCCAAATTCCCGCACCTTCCTGATAAAGCCACTTTCTGTTGATTTAATATAGTCTCATTTTTAGTATGGTGAAAAAAAAAAACATTACGAAAACATAAAAAAATTTAATGTTAAACCTTTTTATCCCAGGTTATGTGGTAAAAAGATAAAACTGAAATTTTGTTATTTTGAGCTTATTTTTTTAGAAAATTGCAGACCAGCCTGTATTCAATGTGAACGATGAAACATGGAATTACGTTAATCAAAACTATCATACATGCTGATTCCAAGACATATTACTTTTAGTCAAGCTATCGATTCTTACTGATCTATGAGCCACATAATCCCCAAAGTCAACTCGGGAGATTTTTGTACCCACCCCAAACTTTGACCTGTACCGAGTCTGTCTGAAATTGAATATATTTTAATCAGTCATGAAAGCTGATTAGTAAGTCAAAAACATACCCCGTTTTAGAAACTTTACATTAAACACTAAATAATCAATAGTATTTGTTTACACGGTAACTTTCAATTCCAAAAAATTACCGTGTAAATAAGTAAACCATTCTCTTACTTACCAGCGTAATATTTCCGGAGTTAGCTATGGTGAGACCGGTGTTTTTAAAGCCAGATGCTAAACTGGCTGCATGCTGTAAATTTAAGCATACAAACTTGAGTATAAAAAATAAAAACATACATATACGAACATCTAGCAACTATACTTATATACATAGATATATAATGATAGCATACTATCTAATAAACAAATGTAATTTTTATTGCAAAAGCCATAAGCTGAAGACTGTTTCTTTATCTATCTATCTATCCATCTATCTCTCTCTCTCTCTCTATATATATATATATATATACAGACACACATGTATCCAAGAAACTGGTCATTGACATACATAATGATTTAATTTTAAAAAATGGTTTTGGTTGGTTGTTAAATACAAAGCTACACTATGGGTGTCAATATCTGATATTTAACCTCACATGCCTGAAATATTACCACTGAGCATCTGGAAGGCTATAACAAAAATGTAAATTTCCAGTGAGTACTAAATACAAAAACTAATTTTGCTTTTCTTATTATAAGCAACAAAATATGAACTTACAGGATATATTTTAATAGGAAACTTAAAAAAAACTAATAGACAACTACACATAAATACAATTTTATATAATAACTTGTAACAAAAAATGTAATAATGGTATCCAAACAAAAAAAAGGATACCATGTTCACCTTACAAAAAGTATTTCACGCTTATTTAAAAATGGGTCGAATCATGCATTTACACATATATTAAAATAAAAATAAACTATCGAAAAAGATACAAATAAAGCAGCTATGGGAAACCTGAAAATTAACCCACCTACCTCCAAAATGGATTTTTCAATTCAAGCTTTTTGAAAATAATAATTTTAATCATAATAAAGATACAAATAAAGCAGCTATGGGAAACCTGAAAATTAACCCACCTACCTCCAAAATGGATTTTTCAACTTCAAGCTTTTTGAAAATAATAATTTTAATCATAATAAAGATACAAATAAAGCAGCTATGGGAAACCTGAAAATTAACCCACCTACCACCAAAATGGATTTTTCAACTTCAAGCTTTTTGAAAATAATAATTTTAATCATAATTTTGTAAAATCACACATTAAGATGGATTAGGGATCATTTACCTGCCAAAATTGAGTCCAATATATTGTCTGCAAACTCATGACGATTTTTCAATGATGTGCTTTTTAAGCAAACTTTGCGAATAAAATATTCATTCTTAGGTGAGCTTCAAAAAAACATTATTTCAGATACTTAGGTAGACTTTCTACTCAAACTTTTAACTTTCTTTAACCTTCAAAATTAAACCTGGATTAAATACACACACACATTTTTGAAATGTGAATAACTTACTAATTTTTGGGCGTCTTTCAGTGTGGCACACTGTACATGCAATATCATTGGTTCAAACTTCAGAACAATGGATCCTTTTTTACATCTCATGTGACCAACCTGCAGATATCAATGTAGTTAAACCCTCATATTAAACAATGCCACAAGCTCAGATCAAAAATAAAATATGCTACTATTATACTGAAGTGGGATTACATTAAGAGCTAAAAATATCCATTTATATTTTACTTGGATTCAGATACAGAAGTATTTATCAGAATTAACATTAAAAATATTGTTTAAAGAATAAATGAATAAAAATGTGTTTACTTGTAATGAAGTACAAAGGTACACAACGGGTTACCTGTGCTGTGCCAACCGCGGGTATCAAAACCCAGTTTTTAGTGTCGTAAGTCTATAAGTCTACAGACATACCACTGAGCCGGACGGGGGGGGGGGGGGGGGCAGTAAAAATGTGAGTTCCGAGGTATGAGCCAACATGGGTATCTTGCC